TGTAACGTGACCTGCGGAGAATTAATTAATGACTGTCAGTCTGGTTTCCTTGTTCCACGTGTTCTCTTCTCCCCCGTGCAGTATTCAATGTGGGACAGTATCGCCGGGATGCCGTGCAGAGCTACAAGAATTACGAGTTCTTCCGCGCCGACAACCAGGAAGCCATGACCATCCGGAAGTGAGTGTAATGACCCGATGTCTGTGCTCTGCATGTCCGGAATGTGGATTGGTTTTGATGAACAGATTCCCCAGATGTACATTTGCCTCAAATTGTAAAATTGTAGTATTTAGTATGAACATTTGAAGGCATTTGTTGCCATGGGGGGGGGGGCGACAACAAATCATGAAGAAGCTTCTGACCGATTTATAGGATCGATATTGTCCAAGGATCAGTTTTATTATCGCTGGGCAGGCTGGCTCCGGTTCGGTAGCGCTCTACAAAACAGGGGACCCACATTTAAGAATCCATGCATATAGTCTGGGGGCAATTGTCCAACATTAAAAAAAATATACATACATACATACATACATACATACATACATACATACATACATACATACATACATACATACATACATACATACCTTGGTTTACAAGTAACTTGGTTTGATGAGTTTTGCAAGACAAGCAAACATTTGTGAAACATGTTGCCTTGATATACAGGTGAAACTCGAATAATTTGAATATTGACTTTTTTGAGGTTGTGGATTTGGGGTTTTCATGAGCTGTGCGCCATAATCATCACAATGATGACAAATCACGGCTTGAACTATCTCGCTTTGCATGTAATGAGTCTCTCTCATATATTAGTTTCACCTTTTAAGTTGCATTAGTGAAATAAATGAACTTTGCACGATATTCTAATCGAGTTTCAGCTGTACAAGCAATGTCTTGCACTAAGAGCAAAATCTTGTAGAAAACCACCACCCGAATAAGGCTGTAGCAGTGCGAGCGACGAGACTGTTTAACGACAATGCAACGTCACGTCGGATAGATTCCTTGTTAAGGTTTCACGAAATGAAGAAGGTTCCATTGAGTGAAGAGATAGCAGTGATTCCGTTAAGTGATAGTGAAAGTCGCCCTACACAATAATCCTCCTCTCTCTTGTCCCTCTCACACCGGCCACAAAGGTACCGGAAACTGGCTTATTTTCTTTATATTTTGTACAGTATTGTAATTTTTATATGAATATTTTTGTGTTGTGGAACAAATCATCTGAATTTCCTATGGGGGGAAATTCGCTTTGATATACAAGCGCTTTGGATTACAAGCATGCTTCCGGAACGAATTATGCTCCTAAACCAAGGTATTACTGATTATTTATATATATATAATAGTGTTTGTGGCTATATACACCTCATATGTGCTGCATATAAAAGGACGCCTTGTCCTTGACCGGGAGGATTATTGGGTATGTGCCGGAGAAAAGAAGGCCCATATGTTACATATATATAATTGTATGTATGTGTGTATATGTATGTGTGTGTGTGTGTGTGTATATATGTGTGTGTGTATGTATATATATGTGTATATGTATATATGTGTGTGTGTATGTATATATATGTATGTAATGTATGTATGTATGTATGTATGTATGTTATATATATATATAAAATCTATATCTCTATATGTGTGTGTTCAAAGTAGAAAAACCGGCAACACGTTTCACAGGCCACACAAATGCCCCTTTCATTGGGGTCCAGAAATGTTGACTGGATCATCTGGTATCGGAATATATGAATGCACATAACCACAAACCTCAATACAAAATGGCTGGCATTGATCACGCCACCCAAAAGCAGGACTGAAATAGATTGGCGTGGTTAGTCTATAGCCGTGTGTAAGCGATGATGATGAATTGAAGCTCCTGCAGGACCTTGCCTGCCTTCTACTCTCCCCACTGCAGGGAGCGACGGCAAATATACATCTGGGTAGGCCGGCTTTAAACCCAACCTGTCGCTTTGCCGTGTGTGAGTGTAGCGCAGGTTCACTTTGATTTGGTTTCTCACCAGAAAGCAAAGCAGCAAAATCTATCTGATCTGTAGGGACCGGGGAGGGAGTACTGACTCAGAGATCGACCGCACAGGGAGTGCATGGTTTTTACTGAGCCAGTTGACTCAGACTTGCTTTGTGAGAAGGAGCAGTGAAGCGCAGCCATTGTGTAGCACTAAAAAGCAGCAAACCGGGGGGTGCGGCCGGCAAGCGTGGAACCGGGGGGTGCGGCCGGCAAGCGTGGAACCGGGGGGTGCGGCCGGCAAGCGTGGAACCGGGGGGTGCGGCCGGCAAGCGTGGGACATACAATTATCAACTAAACGTATAAAGAAAGCTTTTTAATATGTGAACACGGAATAATATTCTATGTATCGGGTCGATCTTTTACATGTTTATTGACTTCCTTTTTAAAGGAGATGTAAAGTCCCGGCATCTCCTCTCCTGCTATGACATCACTGTGTGTGTGTGTGTGTGTGTGTGTGTATATATATTATTATTTTATTATTATCCTGGTCTGCATTGGCAGCTTTTTTTTGTGACCGGTTCTCTTTTTCTAATAGTAATGTCTCTTGCCTTGCAGGCAGTGTGCTCTGAATGCCTTGTTAGACGTCCACACGTTCCTATCCCGGGAGGAAGGACACGTTGCTGTAAGTCCAAATATCTCTAATCCTCTCTCTTCCTGATCACCGGTTTTCTGCAGAAAATTGGAGCCATTTGTATGCGGAAACGTCACAAATGTTCTGCAGAATCTGAATATAGAACGAGACGCGGCGCTGTTGGCGGTTTCTTTCATTGGCGGTGATTGCAGAGCTGATTAATTATGTAGAAGAATGGAGCTCAGCGTCTGACCTGAATTAAATACATGTATGCCCCC